AGAGAGAGAGAGAGAGAGAGAGAGAGAGAGAGAGAGAGAGAGAGAGAGAGAGAGAGAGAGAGAGAGAGAGAGAGAGAGAGAGCTGCCATTCTCTGCATAGCATTGTAGCTGCAATGCTATGTGCTGGAGGTGGCTGATGTTGATGAGGATGACGTTGACAGTGATGATAAATATAAATCTCAAATGTTTCAAAATTAACAAGGAACCCACTGTGCTGCAATCATAGCTGTAACAGGTCCCGCTTCTTCTTCTGAACTTAGTTTAAAAAAAAACAGTGAAACTTCGGGTCACTGGTTAACCTTTTCTCCAATCAATTGACGAACAGGCATGGAGGAGATGTCAAGGGTGGCGTTACAAACAAAACAAAGACCTTCAGAGGTCAATCAGCAGACCTCCTCAGAAGCAGAGGAAGTAAGGAATGGACGAAGCCAGGTGAAGGAAGGTGATCCTGTGGTGAAAGACAAGATGGGGCAGCAAGCACGACTGCAGAGAGATGGTGAAGAAAGAGTGCTCTTACAGGGATGGTTGAATATCCCTCTGGCTTATATACGCAAATCCCACCTCCTCATCCTGAACAACAAGACCAAGATAGGCAAGTTGAAGCTCCACCGGGAAGAAAGGTACATAGTGCAAGCCTCAAAAACATGTGCCCCACATGCCCTCCAAGAGAGCACATGTAATGTGATAAACCCAATTTATTTACCTGCTCATCTGGTATGAATCATATAACCAAAAAAAGGTTTTTTGGGGGGGGGGGAATCACATAACAGTCATGCTTTGGAAAACAAACAAAAAACTTCTTCTAAGGTTGCACCAAAGTCGGACACTTATCCTTCTTTTTTTTTTCGGTGAAATTGATCGAGGGGATGTAATGAACACAATATCAACAGATTTAAACAACAGAATCATGCTAGGAATCTGCCCTACATGAGAGCGCCTCTGCTACAACATTGCACTTACTGTTGATACCTGTCGGTGACTGAAAACCACCTGGCCAAAACAAGGCAGTGGGTCAATGCATTCTTTAGCTTCTTGAAGGATGACTCATAATCTTTGTCTCACAACCAAATTGTGGCTTTCTTGCGTAAACTCCTCATAGGTGCAACCATAATAGAGAGGTTCCCGCGAACTTCCTATAATAACTGGCGAGTCCAAGAAAAGGCCTTAATTCTTTGCTCTAGATCAATCCCTGATTGCAACGATCTTTCTTTCCTATGGCCGTAATCCATCTTCATTCAGCACGTCCTAGGTATAGTACCTGAAACATGACAATTTCAGAGTTCTTTGAGTTAAATCTTAAACTGACCTTTCTTTACTTGCTTTGTAATGAAAACAGTCTCGTTGTAGAAGTCTGTGGCGCCATACGTCGTTGACTACCCTAGCGTCTTCAACGAAGTCACACTTAAAGTGAGTCGCACAAGCATACAGAAGCGCTTCTGCAACAATTTGAATCAACAAGTGCCCTTCCCCGCTGGCACTTTAGCAGCCTTTCGGTATTTGTTGCAGTTTCCAATCTTGGACTTTTTGAACCTGTAACGGTCCCTCGCCTGTCAGCCACACTTTCGTGTCAGTTCCGGATGTCACCGGACTTTCCTTGAGTGCTGCTGCTATTTTGGGGACTGAGTGTGACATACTGCACAGCCACACGGGCCTGCAAGGCCCGACCAGACAGAAAATCAGGGCCTACCAGGCCCTGTGTCGTTTTCAGCCTAAAAGCCTGAAAACAAGGCCCTACAGGCCCTGTGTCGTTTCAGCCTTTCAGCCTGAAAACGAAGGCCTACAGGCCCTGTATCGTTTCAGCATAAAGCCTGAAAACGAGGGCCTACAGGCCCTGTGTCGGTTCAGCCTAAAACAGGGCCTTCCAGGCCCTGAGTCTTTTTAGCCTGAAACGGAGGGCCATTTTCAGGCCCTCATAAAGTCGACCTGCCCTGAAACTTAGGCACCAGACCAGGGTTTTAGCACAGGCCATTTTGGGCCTGTTTTCAAGACAACCCTCGTTTGAACTTCAACGCCAGGGTCTGGCACGTTTTGGCATTGGCAAGAGCAGCCTCCTGGACGGGCCAGCACTATATAAGACTGGCCCGCCCTGCAGGCTGCAGGTAGTCACGAGGTAGTTCATAGGAACTTCCCAGGCACTTCACGTGCAGGAGGCAGGAGGCAGTCTTCA